TTGATTTGGTTGAATTTGAAGACTCTATAATGTTATGATGTCTCGCTGATGATTATTGCTTTGATGATGATGAGTACCTATGAGGACCAATCAACAGTTATTAAATTAAATAAATTTTCGGTGTGTTTTGTACTTAATTCACGTAAAACACTAGTTGAACAGCTGACGATCTTAGGTGTGGTAGACAGCGTTGATATACGAGGTCGCCTACATGCAGCCCAAACATTTGATCAAAGATTAGGTGATTTTAGGCAGACTTGTAGGTGTTATATAACTTTATGGATAATGCATAGTTTGACATAAATACAAGAAAGAATCTGCTGACAAATTAAAACAGTTGTAACCATCATTAGATTTATTCAATTCCCCGGAACGCATCAGACTCGAGTATTACGTTGTTTTTCATGGTTGTACAGTAGATCCTGGTGGCTAGGAATTGCAAAGGTTTTCTGAATTGGAAAGTGGTGAAGAGCATGTCCCAATAAAAAAGAATCACTAATGGATGAGTTACTAGTTTAGAATTTAACTTATCTTCTAAAATTACAGTTTAATGATATAAGTAGAACTTTTTCGCTCAGACAAGTTTTGTGTTTGCATTCCACTAGCAGAGATAAGGAGCTCATATTTTGACAATGATGTAATAACTTCCATTTTGAGTGTACAATATAATGGCTGTCCACCACCCTGTTTAACTTTGACCCTAATTAATATACTAAAGATTCAAGTTCAACCAAACTATAGGCATAAAGTAGACAAGCGCGGATCCAGACTTCAAAAAAGGTTGTGGTCACAGCTACTAGAAAATCGGCTAAGTACGAGTCGGAGCATGGACATGCTCATTAACAATCATGCAAATCGTTTATGAACTTATGGATTAGATTATTTCCTTATTTCTGAGCATCAGGACTTTGGCCTTAGGAATGTAAATAAACTTAGGAAGAAGTTAGACACGATTTCTTCTAATTTCTAATAGTTTCGATCTAAACCTATTTCAATCACAAGTGTATTAAGGTAGTGGGCATGCCCATCGTGCCCACAACGGTGGATCCGCCCTTGAAAGTAGAAATAAGTTTGCTTAATCTATGATCCAAGATCGAATGTAGGATGTTTCCCTTTCTAAGTGCATCTAAGTACAAATCAAATCAAATCAAATCAAATCAAATTTATTTGTAAAACATAGGTATTCATTACATCATGGTGGTGGGTAAACAATATTTGGTCGCTATGTTTTGCCGTGTAGGCGTACAAATTTTTCACATATAATTAAAATAAAACAATACAACTAAAAAAGAAAAATTAATTAAAAACAAAATTAAATAAGTACTTTTAAGGAAAAATAAAAAACTATGTTTAACAAAAAAATAAAAATTAAGAAACACAAATAGGTAGGTACAGCAGTCTTACTAAATCTCAATATTGCACACAAAATAGCTACTAAAAAATATCATTAATAAATTCTTCAACTGTATAATAACACTTATCAATTAACAGTGAGTACAGGGATTTCTTAAATTTTAATAGAGGCATGTTTTTTATTTCGTTAGGTATTTTATTGTAAATTTCAGGTGCCATACCAAAAAAACTCTTTTTCATTAACGCTGTTCTGCATTTTATGCCGTACAACTGATTGATGTATTGAGATCGCATTGGAGTCTTTTTGATCTCTGAAAATACAAGTACAGATGTTTTAAATCACGTTTATCACTAAACTGAGGGCGAGTACGGCATTGAACCCACGTCATATTAAATATTACTTAATTCAATATCTTTGTGAGAATCCACGTAAAATAATTGTAATTTATCAGTATTGATCGTGCCCGCCTACACGTATAGGGAGCATATCTATAAGATGTCAATTTGGTTAAAGAACAAAAGCTTATGAAATGACTAGCGTTCCCCGCGACCTTGTTCGCGTGGAATTTTGACTTCCTACAGATTATTGGTTAAAAAACTATCCAATGTCTGTACCAAATTTCACACAAATAGGTTCAGCAGTTTAGGCGTGAAGAAAAGACAGACAGTTTCATTCTCATTTATTATATTAGTTTGTAAGTTTGGATGAGGCGTTGCTGTACCTGCATAACACATTGCGCGCCAACCTAGTAAAATTGTAGAAATGCTTTTTCTGACCTTTTTTTCTAATTGACGTAATGGTTAGGTTACATCTTTATTTTAACGAAGTTCAATTTTGATTCAAGGATTGCGTAACAGAATCATCAAAACGTATTTGTATTTACACTAGGTGTGGTCGTGGTGGCCCGGAGGTTAAGGAGCCCGCTTCTCATGTATGAGGGCGTGGGTTCGAAACTTGGCAAGTACCAATATGACTTTTTCCGAGTTATATGTACTTTCTATGATTATTTAGACACCACTGACATACGGTGAAGGTAAACATCGTGAGGAAACCTGGACTTATAATTTCTAATTATAAGTTTGAAATCGCCAACCCGCATTGAGCAAGCGTGGTGATTAATGCTCTAACCTTCTCCGTATGAGAAGAGGCCTTTGCTCAGCAGTGGGCACTTATAGGCTGATGATGATGATGATGATGATTTACACTAGGCAAACTTAATATGTACATCAAGGAAACCGTCATAACAGCTATTTTCAATGTCGAGTTTACGAAAAATGATTATAATCTGCGATGTTATTTACTCATCGTCTATAAGCGACATGGTAATAAATAATTATGAGCATTTTAACACCGGAATGTAATCGTAAACTCTATTTTCTAAATATTGTTTATCTGTATATCGTACCAGTAAATACACGGAATATTTTAACTACGTTTACTAGGCGGGGTCGCAATTTCTGTGGGAATTGCGTATGAAAATCGTGCTGCGATAATCTGTTTTCATAGTTTTAAAATCAATATTGTTTGTACTGGTTTTTCCGTGGAGTTTTGATAAGAATATAAACTCGTTATGTATCGTTATAACTTCTGTTATTTATAATATTCGTGGTCTATTTTTAGTACTTTTTCTAATTTTTAGTGTTTTCAAAATAATCTTTGAAATGGAGAATAAATGTGTTCAAATCTCAAAGTCAATGATAAAAGGGGCAGTTGCTTTGTAAAAAATAGTCAGCTATGTCTACAAAGACAGTGGTCCTTAGTTCCGCAAAGCAAACATTGATCGTTGTCGGGACCTCGGCGGTAGACACGAGGAATTTCTTTAGACACAACACATTACCGACACGTCCGTCATGGAAAAATCGCAAACACGGATTGTCTAAAAGCTGGTAAATACAGGAAACCATTACGGCATGTCGTAAACCAGAGCGGACAGTACACATTTGATTCGTCGAACGATTCGGTACGTCAGTATCGTCTCCAGGCGTCCGTAACGATAATCGTGTCATTTATAATTGAAACAGCTTTCGATCGTAATATTCGATTTATTATTAATCTTAAAAATCTTTGGTGGAAGTGATTAATATTGAAAACTATGCAGGATTTGTCCCAACCCAAACAGGTACTTACTACATATTAAGTTTAAGTGAAATTCTGTGTAGCTTTAACATTCTAGTCCTGAAGTTTAATTATTCAGTATTCTCGGAATAGATTTTATTCTGTCATGGCGTACCTAATTCGTTTAGACAGGATTTTCACATTATCTGAAGTGTCAATTCACATTTAGGTCATTATTCATTAGTCTAAAACTTACATGTTAGAATAACAACGATATCCTGTGACATGGAAATGGAGCGTTGATCTGAATAAAACAAATTGAATATTCTGTTTATTGTAGTGCTGTTTTTTAAACGAAAATCGGTTATTTAAAAAGAGACGCTGGTGTAAAAATATTACCGACTATTGAAATGTTCCAATGAATGAACGAGTTTTCTTGAGTGCACTACTTAAGTTTAATCACTTAATTTTTTGAATATTTTTTTCTGTTTATTTCTCCTATTTAGTTCCCAAAGTAAACAACTAGATAATTTGCAATAAATAATTTTAAAACGAAAAATATCTCGTTGAAAACGAGGATCAGCATTATCGTTGTCATATTTTAGGACATGCTATTTCTGTGAATGCTATCATTCGTTCAATAACAAAAATATTCTTGCATAACGGCTGATATTGATGTGTGTGTATGAAGAAAGTGAAACTGTATAACAATTCGTTTATTCTATTTATTAATGAGGGTGTTTGAAGTTGCTATTGTAGCCAATTGGCTTCCAATCAAGTCTTGGTAATGTGTAGTAACGTTTTGAACTAACTTCTAATAAAAGTATTAGGGTCTGTTTCAACACCTCCATATAAGCAACCGATAAACATTTATGTGGGACTTAGTTCTTACAAATAACGTACATTCAATTTTATCTTGTACTTTGTGGTTTTTGAAACAGACCCTTAATGTAATTAACTTATGCAAGTATACTAACTTTAATGGTTTTCTTTTTTTATTTAACAATATAATTTTAATTATATTTTTGTTCAATTCATTTGGTTTCTAAGAAACTAAGCTACAGACCAGCGCTGGTACATTGCCCATAGACAGAATGCTATGTAGCAGAAAAATAATGATAAAACGTGATAAAGGTTCTGTTAAACTATATTGACTTGTAATAATCCAGAAATATTACTTACTTCAAGGTTTTGTCTCATTAATTACTTTATAAGGTGTCCGATACCTACACCTGGTGATTTCCTATCTTAATAAAAAGCAATACAATTATTATCTGGAAAATTGACAGCCCGGATATTCCTTTTCTCACTTCGACTATTAACGAGAACTTGTTAGGTTAAAACAGTTAATAAGTGGCTAGGCAACCGGCTACAGCACAATTTGCCGAGAGTTCGATTCCCGCACGGATCAACTCTGTGTGATCCACAACAGCAGAAATTGAAGCATTAGCTGTAGTGATCACTTATACATTAAGTATAGTAGTATTAAGGCTCTTTCACTATCAATTACCTGTTAAGTTTCTGTAAGTTTTACTGACAGACATCTGTCACCTATTACCCAAATTGTAATAATCTGCCTTCACAATTCTAGCCTCCACCAATCCCCGGAATGCGTCCTCCGCTGGGATCTCCCGGTGGTCCTGTGCCCGCACCCAAGTCTTCCATGGGCTTCGTGATGCCGATCTACACAATCTGCATCATCGTTTTCTTTGTCTACACTATTAGCAAGGTACGTTAATATTCAGAAGATAAATTATCAGGCAACTGTTTGATAAGCTTTAAGCCACGGCAGAGGCACTACAAGCTTTTGGTCGTGAACGACATTGCACGAGTAAGCTGCAAAGCAAGCACTGCAATATTTCCTTTACATAGGTACTAACTTTTTTTATGAGATACGTCGACAAAAGAGCTGGATACCTGATGGTAAGCAAGCCATGGACACCAACACCAAAGGAGTTACGAGTGCGTTGCCGGCCTTTTGGGGGTACGGGTTTCGGGTATTTAAGGATAGGGAAGGGATAAGAGAGGAGGGATTGAGTTTCCGGTAACCTCACACACACGGCGAAACACAACGCTGTGGATGTTTCACGCCGGTTTTCTATGAGGCCGTTGTATCACTCCGGTCGAACCGACCTGTTCGTGCCGATGCGATGCTTGGCACTTAAAATTGATGTTTCTCGTAAAACTTCATCTTCAGTACTTTTTGATATTATCGTGAATAAGAACTTTAAAATACTGACGGATAAAGGTCCCAAGGGTTTTGGATTCGTATTTTTTCCTTAAGCAAAGTGTCACTTGAATATTTTGGGTTCTACCGCCTTCTAATTCCAAACAATGGTACAATTGTTGTGTCTAACGTGCAGCAAGCTTCTTATTTACATGTGAGTCATAATAACACAACTAAAGGTAGGTGTTAATGTGGGTGCATTTAATATGTACATATTTAATCATCAATGGAGCTCATTCAATGATAACTTGACTTATTAAGTACAGTAAGGCCTTATTAAATAGCACTTTAGAGGAAAAAGGACCAAAAATCCCTTTAAGCAATTCTAAACTTAAAGAATAATAGGTTCTTATGTAATTCTACAGATTCTGTTCAGGCGTACCGCAAGTTCGTCGCCATACGAAACCCTACCACCAGACCCTCAGTTCAGAAGACGAGTATTCAGGGACGATTCCAGAAGTACACCTGACAAATTGGGTAAGTTTCCAACATGGTATAACGCAAGCTGTTACTTTAATGATGTTACAGGCGTAATCAATGATGCCTAGAAGTTTTTATTTAAGTTTTAATTTTAGAAGAGGGTGCAAAATGATTTATTTTCAATAAACCGAAAAATGAATAGTGTCATGTTTAATCTTGATCCATTGACTCTGAAAAAAGTTTCAAGAAATATTAAAACAAACATTATCGTTGACTGATACTAGTTACTTTATCTTCCCTTACTATTAATAGCTTCATTTAATTATTACACGAACGCGTAATGTTTGTAGTTACCTAGGTTATGTTTAATAGAACATTTCTAATCAAAAAAACTCTTGCGCATGCAGGACCTAAAGAGCGGGACACAAGTAAGTAATACATATGTTGTTTTACGTACATTTCTGTGTAAACAGGAAAATATCGATACTATCGGTGGCAGTTAATTAGTGAAATAATAATACTACGGCAATGATAAAACAGGTCGGCCACGATAACCAAACTCAAGCTTGTAGAATATGAATTAGTTGAACACAAAAAACTGAATATTACCAATTGGCTTTAATATTTATGTACAGTTTATTATCGTTGGACACGAATAACACTTGCAAATGTTTATGAATTAGATGCAACGGATTGGCACGTAGCACTTAGAGAATTCATACCAAAATTTCGCTCATCCGTCAATCGAAATAAATACCTACGTGTTTTGAAAGAAATCACTTACGTTATGTAGTGTACCTACACATAGAGAGATGCTAATGGGTTGGCATCACCACGGAGCGTTACGTAGATAGAAGTACAAACACAGTAAATATAAACGAATTGCGTATTTGAAATGATCCATCAATTAGGTCGTGTTTAACACTTAGTATAGTGGTTATTTGTTAACACCGTGTTTTATGTCTAAGAAATTTAAATGGTCCTTATTTTGCCAAGATACTGTCATTTCGAAGTTACAAATCATATTAATTTCTTAATTTTATTGTTTTTATGCAATTAAAAAGTAAAGATAAAGTGGTGGGCAAAAGGACCAAGTGTGACTGAAAAGACCAAGTTTGTTAAATGCGCGTTTGACCAATACAAATGACCTGATGCTTAGGGGACGTGGAGTTGGAAGCGCTGAGGGCTCGCCTGGCTGAGACAGAGCGCGCGATGCAAAGGATCGTCAGCCAGCTGGCTCAGCGCGACGCGGTATTAATGGCGGACTGGTGGACTGGCTTCAAGACTATGTCTGCGTTATTTCAGACGATTTTACCTTTAATTACAATAAGGACCAATGTTGTATTGCGATAATCTAATCTTTCGGTAGATTTGGTTATAATATGTCAAAATTCTGTTTCTATAATCAGCGAAATGTTTGGTTTTCCTTAACCAAAATATCGTCCAAATAACGTGGTTAAATATAGATGTGGTCCTTTATAAGCCAGTTTATCACATCTGCCGTGTTTCTTCGTTATGAACCGTATTATTTAGATGTGTACCTAGCAGCTTGCGGCATGGTGACGGTTGAGCCCTTTTATAGTTGTTCGGGTTGTAATTTTAACTTGCAATTACGACTGTGATGCATCCAAACGATTGTGGAATCTAATATCTTAGGCATATAGTTAGAATTTAGTTTATAGAGTGGATTTTTGGTGGTAGATAATTTTCTAATATGTCTCCCGTTTTAACATTGTAAACGTCTATGGGTCCCTATAACAATAATGTGTGTTTTTATTATATTAAATGTTTATTATGATGGTTCCATTTTTGTAATCATTTGTGACTGTCTCTCTACCTGTGTTTATTGTTGAAGAAATAATGTGAATTGAATGACATTATTTTAAAGATGGCTGTACCCAACTAAGCTTTTGCACTTTTATAAAAAGCAATTCAAATAATGTTAAATACAACAATTAACTAATTGGAAACACCAAGAGAACGATAAAAAAGAGATAATTTTTGATCTTTGCAGTCTGAGAAAGTTCGGTTGTCAAAAATTCACTTTATAAATCCGTTCGAACGGAGCTAAGTTTTACCACCCGAGATAGTTAAGTGTGAGTTGGCCCACGTCCAGCAGTGGGGAGCATGCCCAATCGTCTGATGCATCCCGTTTATTTTCGTCAGCGTCCTTCGTTGTTTGTTTTTATGTCTATTTTTATCTTTACGTTCATAATATCAGTTTTATGCTAAAATTATTTGATTTACCCATTCATGAATTTCGAAACGATAATTTAATTCGAACAAATATAAACCGTATTTGATACGGCTTGCTTTTTTGTGAGATTTTGACGAGATTTTTGCTTTATGTAAATGTTTTATGATTTTCTCGCCGTAGGGAATAAATCAAGTCATATTCAAAATTATATCTAAATAAATAATTAATGAAATACTAATGAGGCTAGACAGACCTACAAACTCAAGTCTAGCCAAATAAATAATTTTAAATACTAAACTAATATGAATGTTGTCGGGCACAGTTGTTACCGCCATATCAGGGCTGGTAGCCGAGGTGCAGCAGCAGATGGAGGCGAGCTACGCGCAGAATCAGCAACGACAGGTCAATGCATGCAGCCCTGCTGCCTAACAATGTCATTTGTACAATAGGACCATGTTAAAAGTCTATAATGTTTGTGGAACTGAAGTGATCTATCATCTAATGCATATAATCCATCCATTTGAATAAAAAAAATCTAGAAATCATATCCTAATAAATAAATAAAAATGACACACAAATCATATCTTTATTTAAATAAGGATATGTTAAAGAATAAAATACATATTATTAAAAAAAAATGTTATGACGTTGCACTAAAGTATGAAGTTACCTAATATTTAATTTAAAAATGGACCTTAAAGATTTAATATATGTACCTATCGGATCCATCTGATTGACAGTTTTACAACTCCAGCATTATTCTTATTTTCTTTGGATAGTTCGAATATTCCATATTGGTCGTAATATCTTTTAAAAATCCACATATCATAGACTTTAAAAAAATGTTTCTATTGTATCAAGTGTCCTTGTTATGGCTATCTGGTCCTATAGTCCTAGATTCCATTAAGGTTGGACAAGGTTTTCTTGTCTGGCCTAGCTACTTATTATTTTAACCTTGCAACCCTTTTCCATCGTCCTGTCTTGCTATCTGTCGGTTTTTTTATGTCGTATTTTTTATCTTGTTTGCCGATTCTGTTTATGTTTTTCATCATCATAAACATCATGTCATACAAATAATGGTACTTAATTGAAAAGTGGATTATTATAACCTAAAAACAGATCTTCATTAAAATTGAATCAAAATCAGTTCATCCGTTTACGAGCTCAACATAACATAAAACACATTTAGTTTTTTAGGTAAATCGGTTTTTATTTAACAACAACTGACTGAAAATAACACAAAACATTTTGAACTTACTCTCCATTATAAAACAGATCACATTTATCTGGTCCCAAACAGCGAATGTATGTCTTTAAATACACAAAGCAGTAATAAAGCTTATAATGTAGAGCGCCCCGTCTTCATTACAATAATATTTCATGGCAATAAACATTTGACTTGCTATCGCTTTTCTGCAGTTCAGCTTGCAACTTGGCAATATATCATTTAGTTTTACGAATAAAAATATTCTATTCTATTCTTTTTTGCCTTTAGAATTTGATCCTCTAAATTTTAAAAGGATACTTGGCTTAAGTGGAGCTTAAATAACTTCATTTAATTTTCTCTCTGGGCTCTAGCATAATTTTACTAATATATTTCCATTATACAGTAGGGTATAAGCGGGATTGATAAAAAAACAAAACAATTTCCAAATTAAAAAAAGAACATTCCTTGTCGCAGAGTTGTCTTACGAATTCTTAATTTTTTTAAGCTATTTTTAACTAGATTTTTAAAGGACCTTAAGCCCTTTAAATCACTCAACGGAATGGAAAAAAGTATGGTGTTGTTTAGGGGTAAAAGAAAACAAGTTCTAATATTATGTAGTTAAATTCTATTTCTAACAGCATATTGTTTATTTGAACTCTTACATTAATTCCTCAAATTATCTGTTTATTTCTGTTCTTAGGAGATCTAGTTAGTTTATGGCTCTGGCCAGTATTGCCAGCTCGTGCCAAAGAATGGCAATTTATACAAACTTGGCACATTCACACACTTAAACGATGTTTAAACTGTATATTTAAAGCGATTTTCTTGTGAATGGTTTTAAAGACTATTTGGCACTTTCTGTGATGAGTATAATAGTGTTGTATATTAACACTAAAAATAATTGAAATTGTGTAAGAAAAAAATTATCTATTGTGTAAGAAATAAATTATCTATCGCTACTAACATAGAAATCGTTAATTACCTTTTTAAATATAATTTACATTTAAAAAAGAGTTACACAAAATAGGTTAAGAAATTCATTAAATATTTCAATACCTAGTAAAATGTTTAAACTTTTCGTAATTTTTCCACCATCAACACAATATCATTGAAACATGCACTTCATTTATTTAATTTTGTCAACACAGATATAAATTAGTTGTTGTTAATCAGTTATTCACATCTCTGTTTCTCTTTCAAGGAAAGAACAAATTCTTTAATGTTATTTTCATTCACTTTTTATTTCTATCCATATTACATTTTTTCACTTCCATGGCCTAGTCGCATGTTTAAAAAGTCGTATGTGCTGTTAATGTCCGTTTTCGCCTATGTCTGCCTGCACCAGTTGTCCGATGACTAACAGATTAATAATTTAAATAACAAATAAAAACATTACATAATTTTCAATAATAATTATTATTTAATAATTAATCATTGTAGTTTCTGTGTTAGGTCGTGTAAAGTACATATTTAATTTAGGTATTTTCACTTTAGTAAGGAAGTTAGAAGCATATATGCACATGTTTTTTTGTGTTTTCGCTTTTTAGAGACTTGTTATGTATTTACTTACCATTGAAATAGATGATACGTTTTTAAAAGGTTATTTTGACTAATGTATAGTTATGGATTTGTGTAAAATTTGTTCCTGACATCGAATTTCATTGGTACAAGGACCGTAGACTACTTTTTTTTTGTCTAGGTTGACTTCTAGCCAGTGATAATTATTTTATCTTCCATCCGTCTACTACGACTAAAGTATAAAGTCAGACCGTCATCATTATATTATGATGATTGTTTAAAAAGTTTTTAGGCATTTAAAAAAAAATATTTTATATTTCTAACTGTATGTAACCTTTTTTTTAATAAGTTTTTGTTTTATACTCTTTCCATGTTTTTTTTATACAGAAATTTCTGTAGTCTACGGTCGTACGCTTTTTTTTCATAAATAGATACTGCGCCATGATTTAAAATTTAAATAGATACATAAATGAATCCTGTACATGAATAAATAAATACCTAGACATTTCTATAAACTGATTTCACCGTATCCTTTGTGTGTTGTAGTTCTGTGTTTTTTGGTTAAGCTTGATCTAGACTAATTTGTTTTAATTGTGTTTTTTTGCAGCTTCCGTCTAGAAGCAATGCTTAGACATAAATAGATTTAGAGCCGCATGTGTTTCTTGTAGAGAGTTAACTAGAGTTTTGATGAAAGAAGAAAGGTACAATAATCTTATAAAGTTTTTAAATATTACAGGAAGCTCAGGATAACAACGCTCGCCCATACACGAATGGGACAATTCTGCACAACAGTGGGCCGGTACACATAGTCGCTAGCGAGTACAATGAGCCTACTAAAGGGAACTTGGAAACACAGAAAGAACCATCTCCCGCACCAGAAGAAACTAAAACAGTACCTGAACAAGATAAGGAACCTTCACCCGAACCAGAAAAGAAGGAAACTGTAGAAGAAAAACAACAGCCTGAAAAAACTGAAGAACATTCTGAATCGATTGACAAGGAACCCGCTAAAGAAGAATCTTTACTCCAAAAAGATTCAAGTCCAGAAAGAGAACCAAGTCCCGAACCAAAAGAATCTACTCCAGAATTAAAAGATCAAAAAGAAGAAGAAAAAGAATTAAAAGAAGAAAGCCCAGAAAAAGTAGTAAAACAAACAGATGACACAGACGAATTGATCAAACTGGTTGATGATGTTAAAGTGGAGAGGAATGGAGATGTGAAACACACAGAAGAGTTCATCAAAGAGGAAGCGAAGTCTTCTGAGGCGCAGAAGGAGAAGCAGTCGACACCTGAACTATTAGAGGAAGCTATCAAAGATGATGATGAACAGGAGAATGCTAGCGTTAAGGTGAGTTTTGTGATTTTCTATTTTATAAAAATGAGTATAAGATATTTTTCCATAAACTTGACATTACACAATCGAGATAAAATATTTTTTTGAAGAAAGACCAAAGTCGGTAAAATTAAATTACTTTGAGGCCCAATCCTTTTTGCGCTCCCCCAAATCCTTCCCAACCCCTAAGCCTCCTAAATCCTAATCCCTAAAAAGTCGGCAACGCACTCGTAACACCCTTCTAGTAACACGGGTGTTCTTGGCGCCGCGCATTGCTTACCATCAAATAAAGCGTCTGCTCGTTTGCTGGCCAATCACAAAAAAAAAACTCATAAAAAAAGTATGACTTACATTTTTCTAAAGAGTAATCTTTATGACGGTTCAAGCATGAAGGTTCTAGCCACCTAGCTCGTGTTAATAATATAATCTGTGTGTGTTGACAATATAGCGCACAAGGGAAGCATGGACAAATGCTTTTGTTTTTAATGCATTTTATGCTCCATATAAAACACTTACGCTAATACAAACACCACATTCGTAGCTCACACTTTACATAATATAGAGATACGTGGATTTAGTTAGAAAACGTAACTTTAAAAATATATATATATAGGTAACTAGCAGACCCAGCCTCGCGTTGCTGTGGCTAAGGTAAATAATAATACTAATCTTTCAAGTTGGATCGAAATGCACACGGATTGCAAATTAAAATCGGTTTAGTAGTTTAGGAGTCCATCGCGGACAAAGATGTGACACGATTTTTTTATAGATAAAGACTACCGCAGTTTCGCCAGGGTTACACCTGCCATGGTCACAAGCAGTATATAGATAGAATATTGTACACCATAATTAATTATACAGGAAACAATAAACACAAAAGACAGTACTTATCGCTAAAAACCAATGTCTTCCAGACAACACTAGGATGTAGTTTAACTACAGAAGAATATAATAATGAAATTGAAGTAATCGACTCATTAATACAGGCAATTTTGTAACGTCAAAAATAAAACTGATGCATCTAACTAATGCGATTCGTTGTAATGTCAACAGTGCCTTTATCGATTTGGCTAATTTAGGTCTTGAATTATTCATGGAAGTCCAGAGAATAAACCTTCTCCAAAAAACTTAAGTTATTTTTGAGGCGGAACGAAGTTTGCTATTTCAGCTAGTTTCTGTATGAAACCAATCATGTTGCATTATGTACAAATTGACCGACCAAAATCCACAGATCTCCAACACTTAACACACATTAGAGCACGCATATCATGTCGCCTCGTCCTCTAGGTGGTAGGCATGGAGGTGAGGGCGCACCCGGCGGACGGTGGAGCGTGGAGGGCGAAGCGCCCCACGGAGACTCCACCCCCGATCCCGGTGGCCGCACCCGTCCCTCAGCGAGCGGTGAGGCCGCATGTTACAGTTCATATTGTTCAGACCATATATGATTCTGATTAGTGGTGGATGTTCTTTTTGAGCTACAAGGTTTTATTAAATTGACACATTTTAGCCTCGCGCTTGTTGTAATTTTTTTGTCATTTTAGGCTCTTCTCAGAATCATCACGACAAAGAAATTTTTATATAACCTTTTGATAAGTTTTTGATACAACTTCTTACTTTATGGGCCAATTAAATACTAGCCGCCCGCGGCTTCAGCTCCGTGCTATGTTTATAAAAAACAACCTATGTGTTAATCCAGGCTATCAACTATCCGTACACTAAATTACAACCAAAATGGTCCAGACGATTTTGCGTGAAATATTTTTTATCATATATCGTTTATCATATTAGAAGGATGTTTTTATAATCATATAACAAAGTGGCGAGATATCTGGATGAGTTTAAAACTACGTTGAGCTCATGTTTATCGTTCTAATGAATATTCATTACCTATAATATAAAATAATTAAATAATTGTTAAAATTTCCTCAAAAGAAACTCCACCACTCTCCCTTCTATTTATAATATTTATTTACATTATTGCATATTTATTTAGTTATTATTCTATCTTTTATGTATTTATTATAATATGTTTGTATGTATTTTTAACATTATTAAAATGTTATAATATGTATCTTGTTCGTCCCGTAGTTAGAGTATGGTAGTTAGTCTGTTGCATCACATTCCAGCTTAGCATTTTGTGTAGCTCAGAATTGTTTGCTCAAAATACTTAATTATATCTTTGTGGGTATCAGATATATATTACATTTTTCCTGAAGGTTTATTATGCCTTTCAATGTCATTGTTCGGTGACGAAAATATGAACTTACAGCATTCCAAGCTATATGCATAATTTGAAGACATGACTGAAAATGAAAATGAAAAAAAAAACATTTATTTCTAAACTTTGCCATTTAAAAGCTATTGTGAATAAATAAAAAATAATGTGTAATATAGCAAATCCATCTGTTTTGCCTCAGAGCATACATACAGAGGGTACATAAAAATTTAACTTGAAAAAGATATTATAGACCATTTAAAAGTTTTAAAAGTAAAAGGAATATATATCTGATACCCATAAATTGTTTACATAGAATAAAACTGCTTGCATTTGGTTTTTTATATTTTGTTACATTTTCTATTTTAATAAATAATTTTATTTCATACGAAAAGCAGTTTTATTTTAATACCCATAGTACTAATATTTTCCAGAAATTCCTGGTAAGTATTTATATTATTTTCACAAGTTCACATTTATCACTCAAGACCAATTAAACTCAGGATTAAATAGATTTTTGACTTTAATGCCTAATAATAATAAAGTTGAAAATGTATTACTACAGGTTAATAGTTTAAAAATAAACCTGATACAACTAACACTTAAACATATTATATTGAGGTGGTCTTTGATCTATATTAAAGCTATCTATTTATATTAAATCTATTATTTAAGCTCTAAAAAAACCAACACAGAAGCGGATGTATATTTAGTTCCCCGTTTGCAAGTTACACAATAACAAATAGCATAACGAATACTTTCGAACCGATACGACCTACAAATCGCCAAGAAGGCCGGCAACGCACCTGTGACTCCAGAGCAGTGTTGCAGGTGTCCATGATCAGTTACCATCAGGAGATCCGTCTCGTTTTGCTCCTGTTATATAAATAAAGAAACAAATACACATCGCCTTACAAAACCCGCATAGCAACACAGCATGACGTGTCTGTTTGCAGCACGAGGCAGAGCAGGTGCAGTCCATATACTTGGAGACGGAGATCCCGCAGCAGTCGCGAGTCCTCGTCACTGACTTCGCGGAGAAGAGGACCGACAGGCCAGCCCCTACTAAACATTCACCGGTATTTCTTACTTCTTACTAATATTATAAAATGCGAAAGTTACGATGTTTGGATGTTTGGATGTGTGTTACTCAATGACGCTAAAACGGCTAGACGGATGTGGATGTAATTTGGCACAGGCATAGGATACTCCTACATATCGTCATGTTTTATACCCTATAGCCTCCCTAAGTAAATGGACTAACAGGCAGAAAAATAATTATTCAATTCCAACCAGTAGTTCCGTTTATTAGCGGGTACAAACATACTAACAAACTCTTCAGCTTTATAATATTACAAGCTTCCGCCCGTGGCTTCATCAAATTTCAACGAAATCTGTGCAGCAGTTGTTGCATGAAAGAATGACAAACCTGCATCCGTATATTCTCACAAACTTTATTTAAGTAGAGCAGAATATAAATAAGTGTATATTTACTGAAATGCTTGACTACCAGTCTTAAACTGTTTAGAAGCTTACGTAATAGGAGATACATAATTGTTGTGTATAATAAACACGGAGGTTAGGATTAAGTAGTACAATCCCCGGTGTATTCAATACTAAGTACTTGTACGCCTATACAGTAAAGTGGAGCTTTTCTCGCTTAATTTGTTTTGTGTATGTTAATATGTTACCTTGTAGTGTATTAATAGATAGTGTTGCAATTCACAGATGGTGGTGAGTGGCAAGATGACGCTGTCCCTGATACAAGACGCGCCGCGGGACACGCCTGAGAGGGACCAAGGTATTTATAGTATACTTACTACTTGAATCTGTAGTATTCACAACCAAATTGAAGTGCGAGAGCTTTGTTTTTGTGCGAAAAGGAGTTACTTTTTAAAAGACCCGATTGAGCGAATAGCTTTAATTGCGAGAGTATTCTTCGGCACGAATTTACTGGCCCGGATTGGAATGATACCAGGGCCTCACATCACAAGATCAGTGAATCCCAAAAAGTTTAATGCCTGGTTGCGCGGCAAGCACAATAATGTGCCGCGGTCTCGGCTTGGAATAATAGAACGAGGTGGTTTTTAGTTAGTAAGAGTCTGATCCTGGCTAAAAAAAATATGTATTCGATGACTTTCTGCCTCAAAAAAATAAAAATCTCTGGGAATGCCATCATGGTCCCTGGGCGATCGCTTACTGTCTGTCTAGTGAACCGTATCGTTGATTGCCACACTTTAAGATATAAAATAATTGCTCTTCCTAAATAGGCAATTAACAATATAAATTATATAATTTCAGAATCGACAGTCGACGATTTCACAACGGCTAGTGCTGTCACACAGAATGCTGAGGTAATGTACCTATATTTATATAACACTACGTTCTGTCCGCGTGGTATGTTAAATAGCGTATAGCGTCATACATATCCTGCCTACATTCTAGGGCAGTAGCCCACCAGGCACGAACACCTCGCCTGGTCGGAGGATCCTCCCTTTTCAATGGAGGATGAGAAACTTTCCACCCTGTTTCTCATACCTCTAAAAGCGTTAATCCAGGGTATCAATTTTATTAGTATTTTCTTTTTTATATCATGTTCTTTTATCTCTCTGTGTTAATGTAATTGGTTTGTAAACCGTTTTAACATAAATAAATAAATAAAAATAAATAAATAATAAATAAATCATCTCTCTACATACAGAATTCCAACCAAATCGGTCCAGTCGATTTTGCGTATCATGTAACTTTCACATTTATTAAATAATCACATAAACAAAGTCAAAATCATTTATTTCAAATAGACCACATTTGGCAATGATATTTATAAGTAAAATTCGATTTTCAAAAACGAGACACTGATCCACACATAAACAATTCGTATGTTTAGACGAGTGAAAAGAGACAAATATGAAAAAAGTGTGGCTAGCTAGCCACATTGTAATGTATCACTTGCTGAGACCACACCTTTTTACTTATAATATCATGGACACTAGGCACTTGAACGTCAAGCAAAAAAAATAAAAGCATGATTTATACTTTTTATATTTACTGTAGTGGCGTGCTAAAAGTGTAGTATCCTTTTCATTAAACATTGCTTAGAATCAGGTAGCAACAAAGAGTTATTTTTCTTCTATTATGATAAACTTCGAAGCAAAACCAGGCTTGCTTTGCTAGCTCCACTTTACTCCACACATACACAAATTAATGCCGTACTCAGAGATATTTAATGATTACTTTGCTATTCATTAATTTAGGAAAAGCAATGGGGAGATTTTTTGTCATTGTATGGCCTAGGTTAAATATAAATAAGCTACACTAACGACGTAAAGACGCCTCACATTTCAATCCATATTATTTTAACAATATTACAGAAAGAAGACGAGTCAGAGGAAGAGATTGAAGAAGAAATTGAAATAGAAGAGATAGGGGAAGAAGTTGAAGAAGAGGAGGAGGAGGAAGAAGAAGGAGACCAAAAGGACAAGAAGACAGAGTGAAGTACTGATAGATATACATTGATAAATATAATCGTACCCTGAGTTATATTTTGTGATCGTGTATAAGCCATTAATATCCTTATACTGTTAGAATTAAAGTTTATTATTGATTTGACATTTAGAAAATAATATACTGGTTTGTTACAGATCACAAAATATAACATCATTTTAAATAAAGTAAAACTATTTTGTTTATGGTATGCAATTGATTATTATCTGTGTATTTATTGTCTATGCTTCTCTTCCTAGTCTATGTTGTTGAGGATGTAAATTTTGTTCCGTTGATCTATTACCGCGTTGTTTTATGCTTTCTGCGTTTTATTACTGTTATTCTGTATAATAGTTTTTGATAGTGTGATTAGATGTATCTACTTAGAATTGAATTGTGTCAGAGATTTTGTCTAAGCCGTTGAAGTATTGTATAAACATAGTGTTAAATGTTGCATAGACAAAATAACATCCCTTGACTTTTTCTTATAACTTTAGAGTCAATAGAAATCTAGTACTTCAGTTAGGGCTTACAAAATGTACGAAAAACAATCATGTTCGTTACCAGCCTAAAAAATCTTCAATGCAATTCTAAAGGAGTATCTAATCACACTAATGTTATCATTGGTTATTATTATAAATGTAATACGAATTTATAATTATTAATATACTTGATGAGTATTCAATGATTTGTGCCAAATGTTCCTTCAGGCTTCTTCCATTTGTTTACTCGACGTCATACGTTCGTCATGTCCTTCCAAAGTCTGTAAATTAGCCAAATTTTAATTGAAATCTTTAGGTAAATTAATCAATCTACGTATTATTAATATACTCTTTAAAATTATACACACAGCCGTGCAAAAAAACTGCATCAAGTCGTAACGAAAGTGTAGCCAAAGTTCTTTAGAATATTGAAATTTTATATTTTACTTGTAAATTATTGTAGTGAAATTCATGACATTAATTATAAGTTTTATTTTTCAAAATTAATTGATGTCCTATTGGCTCAATGATTGTTTAGTGTTATAATGAAATTAAATATTGACGCTCAATATACTGTGCAGTTTTTTTGCCAGTAACTTACTAGTATTGACGCCCCAATTAATGTTTAACGTCTCATAAGTAATGGGTTATTAGCGTAATAAAATAAATAAATGAAAATTTTGCACCAGTGTGAACATTATACTAGATATAATTATGCATTTAAGATATTATATTGTGACAGTTTTATTTTTATTTTTTTATTAAAACTTTTTTTTGTTTATTTAATATGAGTAGAAGTTGTTGATAATAGTTTGTGAGTTAGTACAGGCATTCAATTTTACAATTTAAATATTTGAATTTTGAATGAAGGAGGTTTAACATTTTCCATATAAGTGGCCAGTTACACTAATTATGTGTATAATATTTTAACAGCATTAGTAATTTCAGTATTACAATCAGAACTATAATATATTTTAACATTGAATGTAGCATTTTGTTATGTTATGCTTAAACTGTTTTTTAGTTTGTAAGCAAAGATGTAGCCGGGAGGGTAGCTCATCTATAGTGTAGTTATTGTATCATCTGTGCCGACCTATTCCCAACAAAAATGGCGATGAAAAATGACATTAAAGTGTTGCCATCTTATTATTATTGTGGTTACAATTTGTAACACTACTTTTGATTACACTCCTGGTTAATACAATAAAAATAACTCAAAAATGTTTTTGTTTTATTTTTTAATCCCTCTCCCTCATCCCTCTTTCCTTAAAAGTTACGTAAAACTTTACAACAGAGTAAGGAAAATCTTATTCAGGTGTTGACAGCCATTGAGGATCAATGTAGGAAATCTTTTTTTACAATCAGTATCTATTTTTAAATTCAGAATAAAAGAAAGACTGTTTATCTACATTGAAATGATAGGCAAAAACCTTTTCCCATTCGTCCCCACTGAATATAACGAGGTAGAGTCCAATGAGATAATGCTGGTTTCAAATACCTATTACACTTTTTTCCTGTGTTTTTACTCTCACAGCATAAGCACCAATCATAACATTTTAAAATGAATAAAACATTTGACATGATTGTCAAAAACTTGTTTGAGTGCACACACAGCCTAAAAATAATACTCACCAAAATTATTAACTAGGTAATTACACTCCCAAATATTTTGAAGACCAAATTTAGATTTGGGCCAGTTATATATAAACAATCCAGTCCTTATCAATTGTTTTTGGAACAACAATTACATCTAAGAAGTATTTAAAGTTCAAAGTTGTCTCCTAATAGACTAGCTAATGGGCACTTAGTAATAGGTCTTTACCTATGAAATTGACGTTCTGCAGTACTGGCCATTCCAAATCAAAATAGTTTTTGTTAGGCTAAGGCTAAATAATTTTGTTTTAAAAACATGGGATTCTTTTTCCAAAAGTAGTCATTTGTTTACCGATTAGTGTTACATTTTCATCACATTTCAAATCAAAAAAATTGTTTAAATTTGTTCATGCAAAACGGCAGCAACCTATTATTAGAGCTAGACCTATTATTAGCAAAAAAAGAGTAAAATTATTATATTCACCAGTTTTATTGTTGTTCTTAAATAATTAAATAACAAATATATTGATTGTATTTACATTCTACTATCTTGGAGCTGACTTGAGATGGTTGAATCCTTAGTTAGAACCTGAAATGGAAATAAAATAATATTATATATTTTTTGTAAAACAGTAGTGCAGTAAAGATATGGTGGTGTGAGGAGTAAGAGAACCAACATATTTTTTCTATAAACAGTTTTAGAAACAAAGTAGGTACACATTCTATTTTGCCTGTGTCATTGACCAGTTGCTAGTGCAACTTCAAAGTAATGAGTTTAAGGTATGACACAATGTTTTTTTTTTGCAAATAGGCTATACAAAACAGCACTTTTACATGTCAAAATTATACTTAAAAAAAATAGATGAAGTCGGCATTTTCTATCCGACTACTCTTAGAAGAAATGCCGAGGCAAACATAGAGATGTGATACTATCATTACTGCGGTGGGAAATAAATTAATTTATTGGTTAATTCAATAGTAGCTGGGTTAGGAATTGTATATTGTTTAGGATTTGGAGAATTCAAGACTTAAAATAAAACTAGCATATAGAGATTGTTGACCTATTGATAAATTTAAAAGCAAAGTAAATTTGAATAAATCTTAATATCATAAATTCATAAATGTGTGCCAGGTGTTAATTACAAATTGAGCCTTTTCAGACATTTCTTTTAACATGAACCTATATATTTCCTTTATAAGTTTATAACAACATATTTAAACTCGTTAAACTGCAGCTTCAGTTCCACACTGTCTGAACAATGTGCCACAAAGTTATAGGGAATTATTTGACTGTGTTTAGATTGAGTCAGTAGAATAACTATATTGAGAAACAATACACCAATTAGTAATTCTTATCTTACAGTGTCACCTCATGGTTGGATGTAAAAGAATACCTATGTCATTTAATAATGGCACATTTACACTTTATGTGCAATATTTTTTTATAAAATAATAAATAAATAGTGCGATAAATATAAAGTAATTAAATACCTGTAGTGAAGTTCTTAAGTTCCTCTATGTCTTTGACCATGGTCCAGTCATATTTGACTGATCTGACTGACTGAGTGGCACGTTCTACAGGTGGGAAGAATGACCAGCCTTCTTCAACTGAAGTCTTCTTTACTACAGCCGCGGCACCCAGGATCAAGGCTGCAGGCACGGCAATGATACCTGCTCTTTGCCAGGCACTGAAGATACTGCCTGACACTAAACCACCCAAGAAATAGTTCAACTTATCGTTCTTTCCTCTAATGTTCTGTACTGTGTTGGCGGTCACAGCGAATCCAGCAGCCATTCCCACCATTGGGCCTATAAACCAAGCAAACCTGCCCGCTGTACCCAAAAAACCCTTGGGATGAGAATACATTAGGACATCCATTGATGCCAAAGCCGTGCCAGCTATTGCAGCATATTTAGATACGGCGAATGTCTTCATAAAGATATCCTGCCCCTCGGGCGTATCGTAGTATTTGTATTTAAGTAGCTGGCTCATCTTTCCAACTTTTATGCTTTAGCGCAAAGTAGTTACACAACACAGAACACAGTGTGTGAAATGTCAAAGTCAAATAAAGAATTAGAGTAGTGATATATTCATTTTTGATTTTTACGAAGGATTTTAGTCGTTTTGTAAAATGTATGCTAAAATTAATTATTAATTTAATAGTTTTAGTCTCAATTGAAATCTTTTGGTTATATTTTTTATATTAACGGTGTATTTTAATGATTTAATTAAATAATGATAACTACTCGTTAGGGTTGATGTGAAATAAACTTAATTATTGAATTGTCGAGACTCATTCAAACGTAAAGTGGAAGTCAAGTAAAGGTCAGCTAATTTTACTTTAAAGTAAATAGTACTTTTTGTCGTAAATTATATATTTTTTTAAGTTGGTTTTGAACGCATCAAATGCGATAACTCTTGCATATCCGACAATCCGTCATTAGTGTCAAAAGTATCAAAAATGGCGGCGGACGGTGACGAAGTGATTAGTGATCAAGAAAAAGTTAGAATCGTTTCAGATTTCATATTACATTCGCCTCCAGGAGAATTCAATGAAGTGTTCAACGATGTAAGAGTCCTATTAAATAATGATACTCTTCTGAAAGAGGGCGCAAGCGGAGCGTTCGCGCAATACAATAAGGATCAACTAACGCCCGTGCGCCTTGAAGGTTCGGAACTCCACACGCTCATCACTGACCACAATGAGCTCGGCGGTGGGAGATTCTTCGACCCCCGTTCCAAACGTTCCTTCAAGTTTGACCACTTACGTAAAGAAGCCTCGGAGTATGAACCCTATGAGCCAGACCGAGTGGCGGAACCCTGGCGGGCGGCACTGGACGAGGAGCTGACGGCGTACGTGGCCGCGCATTTTAAACACGGCGCGAGCTTAGTTGTAGGACGTACATTGGACGCAGGTGCTATACAACTGGTGGCCTGCATCGAAGATCACCAATTCCAGCCGAAGAACTACTGGAATGGGCGATGGCGTTCTGTATGGTCATTGACGGTGGGTGCAGGAGCAGCAGAGTTACGCGGTATGCTACGTGTTCAAGTGCATTATTACGAGGATGGGAACGTTCAGTTGGTGAGCTCCAAGGAGGTGCGTGCGCCAGTGACGGTAACCGGCGAAGCCGCCACTGCCAAAGAGTTCGTGCGGCTGGTCTGTGACGCGGAGAACGCGTACCAGACTGCCATCTCGGATAACTACAAGACCATGAGTGATACCACGTTCAAGGCGTTGCGGCGACAGCTGCCGGTGATGCGCACCAAGGTGGACTGGGCGCGGCTCGTCTCTTACACGATCGGTAAGGAGCTCAAGAGCCAATGATGTCCCGCCGCTGCGCTCTGAGCCGCAGCGGCCGCTCCACGCCTGTACATATTCGCGTAAGAGTAAATCTTGTTCAAATGTTTACGGGCGCCGGGGTGTCGTCGCGGCGGGCCCCGGCGCGTATTTATCTATGAATATATAGAGAAATCGCTATCTTAACTGTTAAATTTTATTGCATTTTGTTA